AAGGGAGGTACTGGGCAACTGGAAAAGATATTTCCTTAAATAGATTACAGACTCATAACATGTAAGGAAGCAAGTAGATTCCCCACCCTTGGTCTTGGAAATTAAAGTTTAGGCCTCGCAGATTACCAGACAAGTGCTCTGCCATTAAGCTATATTCCCAATGGTCTTTATTACACTAAAATTACTTTTATTTATTTGTTATGTATGTGCACATACAGAAGTACATGCCACACTTTGGTTTTGATTTTGTCTGAAACAGGGTCTCATTATGTAGCTTTGACTGTCCTGGAACTCACTATGTAGACCAGGTTGGCCTTAAACTCAGAGATCCTGAGTGCTGGGAAATAAAGGCTTGTACCACCATGCCAGGCCCTGCATAGCATACATTGTAAGAATGAAGGTCAGAGGATAACTCGAAGGAGACGGTTCAGGTTCTCTCCTTTTACTATGTGGGTTCCAGGGATCAACTCAGATCATTAGGCTTGGAAGCAAGCACCTTTATCCAATGAGCCATCTCATATACCCCCTCTTTTGAGATTCTCATGTGGCCCAGGCTGGCCTTGAACTCACCTTGTAGCCAAGGCTGACTTTGAACTGCTGATTCTCCTTTTTCCATTTCTTAAGGACTGATATTATAGCCATGCACCATGATACCTGGTTTATGTGGTCCTGGGAATTCAATCCAGGATGCTACATTCCCAGTGCACTTGTAGCTGTCTTGGAGACAAGGCAGACTATCATTGTATCACAGAAGTGGTGTTCAAGAACCCTTTATTTTATACTTAGCAGTGGTCCTAAACCACGAGAGTAGTGAGTGATGCTGGCTGTGGTTGGTACTTCCTGTTCCTATGATCAGTATGCCTGAAAGAACAACAGGAGGAAAGGTTTCTGAGGGTTCAGTCCACCGTGGCAGAGAAGGTATGCTGAAGCAGTTCCTATCAAGATGATATGGGAACAGGAAAAGGGGAAAGGATTGGACATTGGATATACAACCTCCAAAGATATGCACATAGTGACCTATTTCCTTCAGCCTTTCCAACCTTCCACAGTTTCTAGAACCTCCCTCAAAATAGTGCCATCAGGGGATCAAGCCTTCCATACTGGAACTTTGTGGGGCATTTAATATCTAAACCATAGAGGTAGGCATTGTAGCCTAAGTCTGTAATCCCAAAACTTGAGAAAAGAGGACTGCCATGAGTTCAAAGCCAGCCTTGGGTAGATGGTGAGTTCCAGTCTAGTCTAGGATACAGAATAAGATCCTATTTCAAAACATCTGAGGAGAGTGGAACTCACTTAGAATTCCAGCACTCAGGAGGATTTGGAGTTCAAGGTCATCCTAGGCTGTGTGGTGATTTCATGACTAGCCTGGGCTACATAAAATCCTGTCTCAAAAACACTAATGGTACATGAAGATGATTTGGCTAGCAAAGGGATTTGTCTGCAAGCCTGATGACCTGGGTTCAAATTCCGAGACCCACATAATAGAGGGAGAGAACTGATCCCTGCAAGTTGTAGTACCCACATGGCTGCACACACACGGGGGTGG